TAAAAAGAACTTTAAAAAATCTTTGTAAATTGTGTGTATATGTCTGTGTGTGTCTGTGTCTGCAAGTACGCACACACACATGCCTGCTTCCCTACCTATGCAGGGCACGTGTGTAGATTCAGAGAAGTATAGAAGTCAGTTCTCTCCTTCCACCAGCTATCTCAAACATGTCTTCTGGCAGCTAGTTGGTTGGACTGGGTGGGAAATGTGCACAGTACATTTATTTGAGTTACTCCTTAGTCTCTTGCTCTGGAACAGTCCCTCCTCCTTAAGATTTCAGCATCATTATGGAAGAAGTGGGGTCCTTTAAAGGTTGCATCTCAGCTCACCTGTAGCTGGCACAGCTGCTCCCTTTTGTTTCCCTGTAAGCTGGAAAATAGCCTGAAAGTCTGAGCAGATTCAGGTTCAGCTTCGAGGCAAGAGTGTAACCAGTGGTGCTCATCATTTGTTCTTGGTTTATCTGATTTCTTTAGATTCTCATGTATTACTCAGAATTCTTGTAAGGAAAATATTTCCTTTGCTATTAGAGCAATTGCTCATCCTGAAATATAGTTTTAAAAGGAAAGGCAGCATGCGTGGCTAATTCTTTTTCCTTCATTACCAATTTGGGAGTTGCAACTTAGTTACTTCCAACTTGATAGGCTTAAGTTTCTTGCTTATTTTCCCTTTCCTTTTTCCTGTTACTATAAACTCTGGGTTTTATTACTCTGTGTGTTTTAGTTGACTTCAACTGTTTATCTTTGGTGAGTATGAACTCTGCTTAGTGTCTCCCTTGTTGGGATTTGCTGCACAGTAAACTAAATCTACTGATTGGCTTTGACCTAGTAGAATTTCTTGGATGAATCCACAATGATACCTACTTAGAGCAGAACATACAGAAACTTACTTCATTAGTATCCATCTGTCTGGGCAGCAAGTTTTTCCATGTTTGAAACAGAAGCTTTTGGACAGATGCCTAAGTCCTTTTCCTGTTTTATTTGGTTTGGTGTTCCACAGGCCAGGGTCAAGCCCCATCGGACTTTCAGATTTAATGAATGTGTCTGCACTCCCTACAATGCGGACTTCGATGGTGATGAAATGAACCTTCATCTTCCTCAGACGGAGGAAGCCAAAGCAGAAGCCCTTGTTCTCATGGGGGTAGGTGGGGGGGGCATGGCCCAGTGGGGAGAAGGGAGCAGCCCCCACATGAAAACAACAGGGCAAGAAGCTGTGCCGAAGAAGCCAGGCTGTGTGTTCTTGCACATGCCACTGTGTTGGTGCTGTTTCATCTCGTTTTCTCATTGGTCTACTGTGAACCTTCAAACAGTCTTGAAAATAGTAGCATATAATTGAGTTAGTAACAGGTGCTCTTTAGGGCATAATGGCATTTTTCTGATGTATTCTCTGGATTCTTGGGAAAAAGTGTGTTAGTGAGGAACAGCTATGAAAATCAAAAACTAAACAGCCAGGGATAGTGGCAGAAGCCTATAATCCCAGCACTCAGGAACCTGAAGGTGGGAGAATTGCCATGAGTTCAAGGCCAGCCTGGTGTACAGAGTAAGGCCCAGCCAGTTAAGAGCACTGGCTGCTTTTGCAGAGGATCTGGGTTTGGTTCCCAGCACCCACATGGTGACTCAAAACTGTTGTAACTGTAGTTCCAGGAGTTCTGACCCCTTTTCTGGTCACTTCAGGCACTGCATACACATGGTGAACATACTTGCATATAGGCAAAACACTCATAAAATAAAAATAAATCTTTTTTAAAGAAATGATTGCTTTCCCTTAGTTTATACATTTTATAGTGTAGCCATTCAAGAACTTTTGGCCACAGACATGTAAGAAAAATCAAACCAAATAGGTTTGCTCAGTTCTTCCTAGTTTTTTCGGGATAAGTTATTAGTTTTAAACTGTAGAGTCACTGAGCCAAAGACTTTGAGTATTTGAAGGCTATCGCTGCCTCCCAGAAAGCCTGTAGGGGTCTGCATTCAGTTCACACTCTTTGTGAGTGTAAAATGGTGGTTACAGACTCCATTCCCCCTGCACTGAAGCCTAGAACACTCACCTGGTAGTAAAAGCATGCTGATTGCCTGGACAGCTGAGATGCATAGGCAGTGTACATCATCAGTGCTGTGCAGTTGAGATGTCAGGTGTCCCCAGTTGAGTGAAGAATGACCTGAGAGCTTTCTCTGAAATGCCTATGAGACAATTGACCAAGAAGTTACAGAGCATGGCTGGTGCATGAGTCCTGTGCTGCTGCTATCACAGGGTTTAAACCTCAGAGCCTGGTAAATAACAGCAGGTGAAGTAGCCACCTGGTTTTCAGACCACAAAATGCATACCAAATACGGTCTTTATTTTACTGATGGTGAAACTAGTGTCTTGGAAAGGACTTAGCCAGGTGTCTTCAGATCTGGGCACCTGTTTGCCAGTTTGTTGTTCTTAAGAGTTCAGTCAGGACTGCAGGCCACAGCTGCCTAGTGGTACATCTCTTCCTTATAGACTACGCAACGAACAGTTAAGTATAGGTGGATAGCTTATGGAAATGAAAGAGGATCTTACTGTGTTTTTTACCTTGGTCTTGCAGGTAAACAAAGCAAACATCAATTTTTTGAGGAAACTGGTTCGAAATGGTCCTGATGTTCACCCAGGAGCAAATTTCATCCAGCAGAGACACATGCAGATGAAAAGGTAATGCTTTTCCAGTCTTCATTGCATTGACTTGCCTTACAGTAACGTTCACCAGCACCGTAGAATGTATTCCAGAATACAGTGCATTTGGTGTGTGGAAAATGTTTAAGTTGCATTAGACTCATGTATGTCATTTTCTGTTTGATCACTGTGTATACATGAATTCCCCAGCATGGGACATCATTAGATGTAGGTTCAGAGAATGCCTTGGGATACAAAGGGGGTCATTTTCTGTGTTCTTGGGCTCCCAGGGGTCCCTTGGTGTTTATTTCACCATGTCTGGATTGCTTAGGTAGGTGAACTGACCACCAGTGGCTTATGTTGTGAGGGTTTTATTGAGGGTCCTATGGAAGAAGATATACTATTGTATTTTATTATATTGCTGTTATTCTAAAACAGTTTTCTCGTGTCTTAACATCCATCCTTCCCCTTTCTCTTGGGTTTGGAGATTGAATTCAGGGCCTTGAGAATGCCAGACAGGCACTCAGTGTTCCCACCACTCAGCTATGCTTCCAGCCCCCAGCCCTCTTTTTTGAAAAATAGGGTCTCGAGTTATAGCCCAGGATGGGGCATAATCTCAAAACAGGAAAAAGACTTGAGCATGTATCCAGTGGGCCTCACCCTGGCTCAGCAAACACTAGCATTGAGCTATACTTCCAGCCCTCTTTTATCATTTCTAAAATTAGGATATGTCCTATAATCAAGTTAGTATAATTTAATTGACAGCTTTTTTTCTAGATGAAACATGAGTAATGTTATGATTTAAAAATGGAGCCATTTCCATGGCAGGTGTGGTGGCATACATCTGTAATCCCAGCACTTGAGAGGCTGAGGCAAGAGGATCACAAGTTCCAGGGCAGCTACATAGGAAGGCCCTATCTTAAAATTAAGTAAATAAGGGGCTAGAGAGATGGCATAACGGTTAAGAGCACTGGCTGCTCTTGTAGAGGACCTGGGTTTACATCTCAGCACCCACATGGTGGCTAACAACCATCTGTAACTCCAGTTCCAGGGCATCTGTTGCCTTTTTCTGAAGTCATTTTTAAGAAAAGTAAATAAGGGCCGGGTGTGGTGGCACACGCCTTTAATCTCAGCACTCAGGAGGCAGAGGCAGGCGGGTCCCTGTGAGTTCAAGGCCAGCCTAGTCTACATAGTGAGTTCCAGGATAGCTGGGGCTACTGGGAGACCCTGTCTCA